AGAGTCTCACTCTGTTGCCCAGGCTGCAGTGCAGGGCCATGATCTCGGCTCACTGCAATCTCTGTCTCCTGAGTTCAAGAGATTCTCTTGCTTCAGCCTCCTGAGTAGCTGGGATTACAGGCGTCTGCCACCACACCTGGATAATTTTTGTATTTTTTGTAGAGATTGGGTTTCCCCATGTTGGTCAGACTGGGGAAACTTCTGAAACTTCTGCCCTCAGGTGATCCACCCACCTCGGCCTCCCAAAGTGCTGGGATTACAGGCGTGAGCCACCGTGCTCGGCCTGAAGTTTCATACATTTGTAAACTGACTTTTCAAATTCAAAAATCCAGCCATTAAGTTCAACTTTTTCCATCTTATTTTTTCCCCTTTTCCCTCATGACTAGAATATTCTCGTGTTTATTCATATGTATAATAATTTTCTATTGTATACAATGTATGCAATACATTATAGAGACTCTGAATTTAGTTAGCTTTTCCTAAAGAGTGTTTGGAGTCTATTTTGGTTCCCTCCTTAATCCTATGGTGAAAGCCTTAGTCCTGGGAAACATTCTTTAACTCTTTTAAGTGTGAGCTTTTACTGGTTTCAATCAAAGTCCTCTGTTTTTTGCCAAGTATAGCTGGAATTCAAACTCCAAATTCTGCCTTCCCTGCATTAGGCAATGATGATCTTCTCTGCTCAGCTCTTTTAGCTTTCCAATGTTGCTTTCCACTATGTCCTATAAAATCTTCCCTAAATGTGTGCAGTTCAGGGGTGAGCACAAAGATCTGAAAGGGGTTCAAATAGATTGTGGGCCTATGCCCCTCCCCATGTCCCATAGCTCCCTCTTTGCCACTACTCCCTCCTTCAATTTCTACCTACTTGGTAGCCCTGAACTCCATCCTCTGATAACATACAAGTCCATGAGGCAGTGACTATTGAATTCTAGAAGCTCTGGGGCACATGGACTGAGAATGCTCTCTTCTCTTCCTGGCAATACTTTCTGTCTGAAATTTTGCTGACAAATTGTTGAGTAATTTACCTAGTAACATGTACAGGTTCCAAGTCTGTCCTTCTTTGCTCATTACTTTTTCTTAAGCAGGGGAAAGCAGGCTTCTATTTGTTGAAGAGAGAGAATGAGAAGGTGGGGAAGATAAAAGGCATGTTTCAGAACACTAGAGAACAACTCTCAACTGCTTTTTACATTCTCTCTTTCCAAGGGCACACCCTCTTTGTTCAAAAGGAGTCTTAAATTTCACAGAAGCATTTATCTGTACACACATGACTTATCGGCAGCTACCAAGCTAGAGGCCCGTAAGTTTTCTCTCCCTCAGCTAGCCTTACACCTTTAAAACTGCCTTTGAGTCAGAAATAAGAAGAGGTTAAAAAAAAAAAAAAAAAGAGGCATTTTTCTAGGCATTCCTCCTTAGGTCTTCCCTTCCTCTAACCCACTGCTCTGTGGTATAAAAACAGTACCCACTACCCCAACCCAGAAAATACTCCTTGATTTGCTCCATGACTCAAAAAAGGTTCACCCATGCATTCAGTCTCCAGTTCTTTTGCTCATAGGTTGGGTTCTTTTAGAACAATTTAGTTCAATAAATTGTACTGTATTCAAGACCCAAGCAGATACATACTGGTTCTGTCAATAAACAATCATCCTGTTTGGAAATAAAGCAAAAAGACTATGTATCCTTGCAGTGTAGCACTGGGACATTACCTAACAAGCCCACCTAGGAATCATCTGACTCTACATAAATTATTTAACTTTGTTTTACCTACTATCTATAATTGATTAGGGCCCAGAAGTCTTACTGGATGTTTATTTTAGAACGCTGACAAGTTAAAGTTGGTGTGCATCTTGTTGAAAACAATGTCCAAAATTACAGCTTTATTGTTCATTAACAATTTTTGTATGCTACTGAGTAATCATATTCCTGCATTCTTCCTTTTTATTTGGTATTAAAATACTGTTAACAGTTTGGTCACCATCATGATTCCCTCGTTATTCAGTAAATCACTATATATTTAGGAATTATGTCTAGGCTGGTGCAGTGGTTCACGCCTGTAATCCCAGCACTTTTGGAGGCCAAGGCCAGCAGACTGCTTGTTCTCAGGAGTTTGAGACCAGCCTGGGAAACATGGTAAAACCCCATCTCTACAAAAAAATACAAATATTAGCCGGACATGGTGGCGCATGCCTGTAGTGCCAGCTACTTTGGAAGCTGAGGTGGGAGGATGGCTTGAACCTGGGAGGTAGAGGCTGCAGTGAGCCAAGGTCACTGCACTCCAGCCTGGGTGACAGAGTAAGACCCGGTCAAGAACGAATGAACGAACGAAAGAACAAATGAACGAACGAGAAAAAGAGACAAAGAGACAAATAGAGAGAGAGAGAAGGAAGGAAGGAAGGAAGGAAGGAAGGAAGGAAGG